TACAACGTTGGCTCATAGAAACAATTGGTCTAGTAACAGGAGTAGTCATCTCTTGCAGTGATCCTAGGATATACACGCTCGCTGACACAGCCAGCGTAGAAACAATTATTTTGTCACAATTCATCACAAAGATAAGAAACCTTTTCATTACAGCAAAGCCCGTCATACATGTGTGGGATTCTGCTGGTTTAAGCTAAGAATCTAGCTTTTCTCATGGCGGCAACGCGGAAAGAAAGATACATGTCAAATTGCATACAAGAAAAGATAAAGAAACGAAAGAAGGAAGGCAAGCAAGAAAGCAACAAGTACTATTGCAGTGGCTCCACCTTCAAGACTGGCTTCCTACTATGCCTGTCAACAAGTTCCTTCAGGTGCACACGTTGTTCCTCACTGTAGGAACCCTTAAGCCAGACTGCCTTGATACCGTACATACCACTTAGCCCATCACGTCCCCCAGAAACCCGGAAGAATGAACCTTCAGAGCACTGGATTATCAGCACCTCAGCATACCTGATTATACTACCAACAGTTACCTCTAACTTGGAGCTGCAGTCTATCTTAACGACCCGAGGTCGGAAAGAACCAGACCAGTTGCCGTCGTAGTCGAATTCATTCGAGCTAAAATTTACCGCTTTGTCTCCTTGCACCTTGATGCAGAGACGATTTAGAATATCACGACGAGGCAATTTGTCTTTCAAGAATAAATGGATGTCATCTTGGCTTGTAATAGTCATCTCAAGATCCAACTTTTCGAAATTGAAAACATCCTTGATGGTGTCCGGCAATTTCCTTATAGGCCCGTACAGCTTAAGGCTCTTCAGGGTCTTGGGTGGCTTGAAGCTATCGTCGAGGCAATCCTCGTCGAATCGCACTGACAAGGATTCCAGATGGCAATTCTTATCCGAGAGGGCAGAACATAGCAGCGGCCAGTTTTTCTTATTGATGCCGCACACTCTGAGCTTGAGCAATTGGGTTAGTTTTGCGAGCTGCTTCAGAAAGGCCTCCCCACCTGATGCATTGACATTCACCACACCAACAGTATGCAAGGCCGTAAGGCTTTCAATCCCTACAGGGACCCCAAGACCACCATTATGATGTTGGGCCTCTTTCCTTGGTTTCGACCCACACAAGCTCCAGGTATGTGACAGTTTGGATGCCAATCTCCCCACCTTTGGATGCTGGGCTTCTTGTGATGTTGTTGCCTGTGCTGGGCTCTCAGCATTTTCAGTGCATGTTGGTACTGCTGGCCGCCCTGAAGATATGCTGCTATCACGGCCATCTAGTTCTTCTGATGTTGTTGCTGGTAGTTGGTTTGTCACCACATCACCATCTTCTGTTGATGCGGATTTCCAATCTTCATCTGGCAATACAATGGCACCAGCACGTATGTATTGCAGCTCATGTAGCTTGATGATAGCAGACGGCAACTTGACTATGGAGGTCCATCTTACATCAAGAGTCTGTAACTGCCTCAGCCCTCCCAATGTATCCGGTAGATGACTAATTTCCCTACATTCCCGTAGGGAGATGAACTTGAGGCTCAACAACTTCACAAAGATCTGCTCAATATCTTCATTTGTTAGAGCTACCATGCCTTCTAGGTCCAGCACTCGGAGCCGCCTCATCTTGCCGGAGATAAAGAATGAATACCATTCCCCAAACACTGTCAAAGATCGCAGTCGTGCAAAGTCGATGCTCTCAAATGCAATTTGGTCCCTGTGCCAGTTTGCCATTATGGTCAGGTGTTGTCCTGTGCGTTGCGTGTTTGGATTGCAACGCCCGTCCAATGCAAAAACAAGATTATCCTCCATTGGCCGCGAGATGATGTATTCACGGAAGAAACCATTGACTTGACATATGACCTTGCTTGTTGCTTGCTGGATTATGCTCAATTCAACAAGCTCAGAAAAACGCTTTTGGGCACCCTCTCTCCCCCCGGGTGCACCATCAGCCCAACAAAAAACCCTCCACCGAACCCTAGCCACAACTCTTCTCCACTTCCACTCCCATGGATTTCTTCCCCGACTCCTTTGTCTCTGGCCCTAGCAACCCCTTTGCCTTCTCCTGGTCCGGGAGTAGCAACCCCATAGTCGGTCCCTCAGCCAGCTCTTCTCCACTTCCGCTCCCATGGATTTCTTCCCTCCTGTCTCTCAAGCCCTAGCAACCCCTTTGCCTCCTCCTGGTCCGGGAGTAGCAACCCCATCGCCGGTCCCTCGGTTGGAATGAACCATGACGACCCAATTTTCGAGCGCGTCCCGGTGATGCCCTCCCACTCCGAGGCCAATTTCTACGCGTGGAAGACGTACTTAGTTCTTCTCTTCCGCGAGTATGATCTTCATGGCCACATCAACGGGACCGTCGATATCTTGGCCATGCCTCATGGTGCCGAGTGGATCGCCATCAATGCCACATCATCCGATGGTTCTTCCTCAACATCTCCAAGGAGATGTTTCACACCGTCGTTCATGATGGTGAAAGTGAGCGTACGCTACGGACTAAGATGGCCGACCTCTTCGCCGACAATAGGGTGCAAGTCATCGTTTTTCTTTAGCAGGAGTTTTTTGGTTTACACCGGAACAACTACTCCATCGATGAGTTATGCTTGCATGCGTCTCAAAAGTCTCTGGTGAGTTGCGGGATGTGGAGTTTCAGGTCTCCGTGAGCTCCTCCTCTCCATGCTGACGGTGGTCTCAATGAGGAGATCAGCAACGCCGCCTTCAACCTCATGCTGCTGACCAGGCCGTCTTCCGAGAAGGTCGTGGCCTATCTTCACCTTGAGGTGCGCCGGCTGAAGCAGTTGCGCTCTCGTGCAGTCCGCACCACCTTCGCGGCAGGCCTCTCCTTCGGCGCCCCTGTCCAGCCACCCGCGGCGCCGCAGCCGCGGCCTCCGGCGCCCACGGTGCCCTACCCGCACCAGTTGGCTGCCGCTGGCCAGGCGCCACCCGACCGCAACCGCCAGCGCTGGTGCGGCCACAATGGCAATGACAGTCAGCGCAACGACCGCAACGGTGGCCAGTCACGCGCAGCCCCGCAGTCTCAGCCGACTCCGCCATGGACCACGTGTCACAACCTGTGGATGGGCGTGGTGCATGCATACACCATGCCGATGTCGTGCGCCCCTATACCGGGTCTCCTCTGGCCCAGTCCGGCCACGCACCACGCTTTCCTCGCGACGCCTTAGCCTGGTGTGCCGCCCCGCCGCTGCGCGCGCCTCACCGCGCCTCTGGCTACTTCGCGCCTCCGCTGACGGCGGTGAGGACTGGTACGTGGATACTTTTGCATCCTCTCATATGGCCTCCAACCATCATAATCTCTCCATTTCTGTTCCCACCGCTACCACCTCTCGCACCATTGTTGGTAACAGTTCTGCTCTTCCCATCACTCATACTGGATCCACTAATTTTCCGTCTAACTCAACGCCATTGTATCTTAATAATGCCGCTGTTTCTCCACCCTTAATTCAAGCGTAGTATCCGTTCGTTCTCGTGATAATTCTGTAACCGTGGAATTTGATGAATTCATGTTCTCTGTTAAGGATGCACATATCTAGATGGTCCTCCACCGATGTGACAGCCCCGGATATTAGTACACCGTCCATCCACCGTCATCATTATCTTCCGCTGGGCCAATTGCTCTCTCCGCCAGCATTGACGTCTAGCACGCACGCCTTGGCCACCCCAGCTCCACCACTTTTGGTTGAATAATGCCAAGATTTTGCTTTTCATGTAATAAAACGGACGCTCATACTTGTGATGCATGTCGTGTTGGCAAACATGTTTGCCTTCCGTTTAGTTTTTCCAGAGTTGTGTCTTTTCTGTTTCAGTTAAATCACAGTGATGTATGGACCTCGCCTATCGCGAATAACTCCAGTTTTCTTTACTATCTTGTGATTTTGGATGATTATTCGTATTTTGTGTGGACATTCCCACTAGGCTGGAAATCGGACGTTCCTGCCACACTCACTTCCTTTTACTCCTATGTCTCCACACAATTCGGTAGGCCTATACATGCCCTTCAAACTGACAACATGAAAGTGTTTGAAAACACATCACCATTCACACTCTTGTCACCCGCCATGGCACCATATTCTGGCTTACTTGTCCATACACCTTACAACAAAACGGTCGCGTTGAACTCATCCTTCACACTCTCAATGATTTCGTCCACACCCTTTTGTTTCATGCTCACATGCCACCCGGGTCTTGGCCTGATGCTCTCACCACCGCCACTCTTCTTGTCAACATCCGGCCTTGTTGTTCTCGCTGGCACAATGCGCCCATTATCTCCTTTTCGGCTCGCCACCCTCCTATGATGATCTTCACATCTTCGGTTGTCTCTCTCCTATCCTAGCATCACCGCTACTGCTCCACATAAGCTTGCTCCATGCTCCCTTTCCTGTGTGTTTCTTGCCAACCCATCTACCAGCAAGGGATATCGATGTTACGATCAGGTTTCTCACCGTGTCATCATGTCACGAAATGTTTACTTTCATGGGTGGTGTTTTCCTTTTAGCGGGGACAATTGGCGGCCTCTTCTACGACACCCTGGACGCCCGTCGATCCCCTCGTGGACAGCCCTCCTCAATGGTGGGCTATTGGTGCCCCGCCTAGGTAACCTGATTGGCGGGGACTGTGGCATCGGAACCCCCGCTCGGCTCGAGGGCCCCGGACATGCCACCGTCGGTTGGTTTGGCCGCGGTTACGCCGGCTCCTTGTATGGCCTTGCTTCCGCGGCACCCGACTCATCGCAAAGCTCTTTCTACTCCTGGGTTTATTCCTCGACGGACGTACCATCACCCGCTACCACCACATCGGGCTCGACTGCCGGCTGGTCGCCTCCACCACATGCCACTAGTTGGAAAAGCCTTATAGGTGAACTCAAAAGTGTGGCGGGCGAGACAGGGCACCCTCCAGTGCTAGATTGGAGAAGTAGCACTAGTGGGTACTAAAAGGAAACCGCCATTGTTGTACCCCTAGCAGTGGCGGGCCCCTTTCTATACCCATCACAGGTAAACTCTATCTAAGATCCCCGCTTAGTAAAAACCTCTAGTGGCTGGCAGCGCAGAGTGCTCGCCACACACATGTATTTGGGCAACTCGCGCCAAACGAGTTAAAAATTCCAAAAAATTTAACGGCGGTCTCTGTGTGCTGCTCGTCATAGCTATAGCATACACACACAAAACCATTGGTTACGGCCCACACTAGCTCAAATTGACAGAAATTCTATCCAACCCCCTTTCTCTGGTGTTCGCCCCCTTCGTCCCATGCGGTGTGTCTTCTCTCGCCATTGTCTCTTCCCATCGTCGAGGCCGTTTGTGCCTCTCCCATTGGTATGTCCAAATCTCCCTCATTCTCCTCCTTCTCTTGCCAGTAGAGTTAGGGTTAGCATGCAGCCGCCACCGCCTAGTGTAAGCCTGCCACCGCTAGGGCTCGGGTTAGGGCGCTGCTAGGTCTAGGGTTAGGGCGCCGCCGCCGGTAGGGCGCCGCCGCCGGTAGGGTTAGTTCGCCGCCGCTGCTAGCTAGGGACATATTAGGGCACCGCCGGTAGGGTTAGATCGTCACCACAGCTGCTGGAGTTTTCTACATTAGAGCAAGTTTTAATTAGGTGGTCGTAAAGTGTTTTCAATATATAGTTCTGCAGGTTCCGTGTACATATACTTCATCTTAGAGCAATACTTTTCCAATTCCAAAACAAGTTTGAGTAATTGAATAGCAAACCTATGTCAAGTAGGCTGCATGTTTGATGTATCATGAGTTGAGAAAAGAGAAATAAATTGAGAAAAATGTGGCGCGAGGCGTGCCCTTGGCTATCATTTTGTCATGTTACGATTTTTGGTAAAAAAAACAAAGCTTAAATATGACAAGTGCATGGGCTAAGTAAGCTGGACATGTTATACATCATTTTTAGGGATCCATAAGTGAGTGCCAATGTTTTGGCAAAACGTTGATTAATTTTCATTTCGCCAAATTTCCGACACTCAATATGTTCATATTTTTAGCAAAGGTCATGCTGACTTTTTCCGTTGATTTTTCACCCTTTGTTAACAATTTTATGCGTATCGTACGATTATTAGTAGGGATCATGGTGCTTCCAACGTGCCAAATCGCATAAGTAGTTGTGCAGTCAGCTGGGAAACTGCAACGGAATTCAGGGTCTTTCTGAAGGAGGAGATCAAAAAAATCTATGGTAATGGTCCTTAACTACAGTATCCAAATTTAACCATTTTGTAGCCATTTACTGTCATTACCACTAATTTGGTTTGCATTTTACTTTACTGTTGTATAGCGTATCCCATGCAATGTAAGGGTGGACTTTAACAATGGAATAGGTGATACTTTGCTTCTTAAGGATGATAAGGGGCGGTCATTTCAAACTGAAGTGTAGAAAGGAAAGCATAAAACCATCATCTGCGGTGATGGATGGATGAAGTACATTTTGATAAATAAGCTGACTATGGGAGAGTACATAGGATTTTACTCAGAAGGATTGGTCAACATGTTAAGGAGTATCTATTTCTTCAGCCAAGATGATGAGGATGGTGAAGATGATGAGGATGGCGAGGATAGTCATGATGATGAGGATATCCATGACAATGAGGATGACCAAGAAGATAGTCATGATGACGATGATGTTCCATAAATTCTCCAATTTTCTCGCAAAGAATGAAGAAGCTTGCAAGAAATGAGAGGAACAATCTCTTGGCGATCCTACCACCAACTGAGAACTACATGTGGGTGCCCCTTGTGCACCGTTTAACAAAGAGAAATATCATCAAATATGTCAAGGTATGTTTGGTATTATTTCCTTTCTT